CAAGTAGCATCTCGTCCTGACTTGTTGATTCTTTCCTACAGATGGACTTGCAGAGTTCAGCAATACTGAGATGGTGGCAGTGTGTTTTCCATCGGTTATAATTTCTAATGGGTTATGACTTCTTGTTTGTAGAGATGCTACATAAACAGTGCAGGTGGTTAGTGATTATTGCAAGTCGGTTATAATCAAAGTTTCTTAGTAACTAACAAACATAAATTGTTTGGATTTGATGCCAAACAAATTTGATTATTTTACCTTCATCACTTCTGGCTGATTATGGTAACTAAAGATTGTATTGTTTAATTGGATGCTGTGCTCAAAATGTAGTCTGCTGCAGTAATGTTTAGTGGATAACAGCCTCTGATTAAAAACAACCAAACGATATTGTTTTCTAATAATCTATGGTAAATACAATGGTAATTTGAAACTCATGTTTGAAAATATGTATTGCACACTTGAAAGAATTCTAACATCTATGAAACAAGATTGAACAAGGTCAGATCAATGAGTGTATACTTCTTACTATGTTGTAAAGTGTGCTTTACTCTCTTTGAGTAGATTTGAGTCTGGAGAAGTCTGTCTATTTCCTATGTCATCTATGTTTTCTTTACATTTTTGTATACAGGGTGGGAGGTTACTTAGCCATTTGCAGGCGAGCTTAATAGCACTGTTTATAACTTTCCTGAATGTAAATACTTGGCTTGAAATTTCTGATGTTGATGTTTCTCCTGGTAAAACCTGCCTATGAGTATGCACTCTGTTTCCATTTCGACCAAAGTGTTGCAGCATCAGTTTTCAGAAATGAGACGTAAACAAAAATTAACTGTTAAAAAAGCAAAGGCCTGGAGACTTGTCTTTTAGATACTCCAACATGCCTGTGCTCCAGAATGGGGACTTAAATTTCATCAGGTCCAGCTGTTAGTCATTCTGTGGAAAAGCTGTTCATTTTCAGACAAACTGCAAGCCTTCAAAATGTTGAGGTGCAGACATTCACTAGAGCCTTCAAAATACTAAAGCAGCTGATTAATGTGATGATGTTACGTTCCATCTCGGGCTTCAGCATGAGTTTCCATGTAGCTGCTGTGGGTCCTCATGTCTTGAGACAGCATCTTCTGAATTCTTAGTGTTCCTTTGCTGTTTGACCAGGGTAGTTAGTTTTAAATTCCGAAGCGAGTGAGGGAATATGCTAAGAGTGGAGGAGAACTGCACAGGGGGAAGGTTGAGGCTGAGTGATGGAAAAGAATGAGCCTCACTGATGTGATGATTGGGAGACTGTCTCCCCACGAATGCCTGGGATGTAACCCAGGTTCTAAGTTCATCTGAAACTGTTTGTTTGCCATTGGTGCTTGTTAATATTCCTTTCCCTCCTCCTCTTCCTCCTCCTAGTATTGCTCCACAGTCAGGATAAAAGCCTACTGCCACCTCTTGTGCCTTGCCAGGCATCGAGAGCCGTATCTTCCACAGTGTCTGCGCAGAGGGGTTGGCAGAAGTATATCTCCTATTGCAAATCCATATGGCTTAACACTTCTGTCTGGGAAGTAAGGGTAAGGAGCCTTAAAAATGGCATTCCCTATAGCTATAAGGGTGAATTCTCTTGCACCATTCCGTAAACACTATGGTACAAATTTTTGCAGTGGATCTACAGACTTTGTATGGAAACAGCCACGTAGGAAAACCCCATGAGGTTCAGCATGTGATGCCATGTCATGAGTCTTAATTTTTTCTGTTTGCCTCCACCCTTGTTATTTTGCTAATTAACGTTCCTGAGTGATCGTAGTTCTCCAGTGCGATCTGTGGGTACTGTTATACAGTCCTGCTTGTGGAACTGGTATATGGACCACTGCTGACTCACCAGAACAACTCTTCCGCCGGCGTCATCAATCAATGCCGGTGATCCCTTTTCCCAGATGCGTTCAGGAGTACAGAGGGAGTGGGCAGTAGTCAGGGGGAATACAAGCCTGTTACAGTTCTTGATAATTGACTACTCTCCAGTGCTGTGTTTATATGAGGCATCTTTGCAGGAAAATGTGATTCACGTACCGAAGGGATGGCCCGTGCCTGTCTGACGAGTTTGTCTGTTGCCTGTGTACTTGCAAGATAACACGGCTACTAGGACTTGGCTACACAAATTGTTCCAGGATCAACAGTCTGCTTCTGGCAACCGTTTTTACAGTGGAAACTCTAGAATGTGCAGGACATCAGTCACCCATGTGCCTCTGTCCTGTAGCTCATCCATGGTAAACCTGGAGCTCCTGAGGCTCATGTACACTGTAGGGTTTGTCCTGTAACGGGGAAGAGCCATAGCATGTAGTTCTTCTTTGGGCCTCAAGACACGAAATTGAGATTTACATAATCTGTTTCACTAGTTTTATGTGCTGCCTAATCCAGTTATATGTCCGAATGGGGGAAAAAAGCTGATGGCAAAAAAAGGAAGTTAAAGAACGGATGATATCTATATTGAAGTGTAATGTTCTGGCTTATAACTATATCCACATCAAGTGGCAAGTATCTCGGCAGAAATGTCTTTTGTACTCCTTGGTTCTCTGGTCTCCTTCATTAATCTTGCTGTCATGAGCTTTGGTCTGAGCTTTTAGCTTAAAATCTGTGTGTTGTAGTTTCATCTTTCTGAGCAGTTCTGCTTATTTTAAGTTTGAGATTCAGGATCGTGTTCATTTGAAGATTGTTCTATCAGTGTATATGTGAAGAGCTTTATTTTACTGCTCAATAACTGTTAGTACCTTGGAGCGCTGTAAATCTGTTACTGTGAGGGGAAAAAGAATAAAATGATTGCACAAGATGGTGTGTTGATATAAATTGACATTCCTCTACAGAATTGTAAATTAAAGTGATAGTTCCTTAAATGAGACGAAATAGTCTGTAAAGCACTGCCTCTGTCTTTTTCAAAATCTGTGTCGAATAACTTTAGTAAGATGGTAGAAATAACTTCATTTAAAAAAATTCCTTTGCATAGCAGTTCATCCTCCTAAAATTCTGCTGCACAGAGATTTGCTGTTTAAGTTGAATATTTCAAAAATGGTTTGTTTAGATCGTTAGCTGAAAGACCAATTCTAAAGTACTGAAAACAGAAACTGTTGAGAAGTGAAGTACATAGAGGGATTTACTGCAGCAATGATTAGTAGTGGCTAATTTGTAGACACTCCTGGCTGCAGGAGTGGAACTGATGGCTCTTCGGCACGCAACTGGGACCTGTCTGCAGTCCCTGGAGATCTGGCTGCATAGGAGTGAGTTTACGTAGCTACTGTTTTGATTGTGGCAGTAAGTGAACTCTAGTGAACGTCAAGGAAAATCCACCTACTTATTGACTGTCTTGTGTTTTGCATTAAACAACTGTTGGATAAAATGTAGAAACTCTCCTTGAAGTAGATGCCGGGTCCGGAACTGGGCGCTTTGCAGGAGGATGTCCCTTTGACTCTTGACTTGAGCTTCCTCTGCCTTCCTCGCCCTGGCAGTCCTTAGGACTAGCTTCAGCAGCGTGGGAAGAGCGCATCTCAATTTGATGAGCAAACCTGCGTCTCTGACATAGTCTTCAAATTCTGTCAAACACAACATTGTCTGTGTATTTATTGTACTTTGAATGTAGCTACCTGAAAGGCTCCCTTGGGAAACTTGGTCACAGTACACTGGCTTTGCAAATCCCGTGCCTGCTTGGGTGGTTTTTTTATGTATGTATCTCTATATATATCTATATCTCAATGTAGGATTGTAATGCAAAACAGTTTTAGCTCTCTTGAGGGTAAAAATGTAAGTTTAAGAGACTTTGTGGAACTAAATATGTTGGGTTTTTTTTTTCCTGAATCATGCATTTTGACCGAAGGGCCTAGCATAATCAAGACTTGTATTTGCATGTAAACCTTTTGTGAATTTGAGCGTAAATGTACTTAAAGGTGAATTTCTCTTTCGTTCTGCTTTCAGTCTCTGCCCTGGAGATCAGGGCCTGCTGCCTAGGTGATAAAAGGTGTGAGGAAGGGCAAAAGTTTCTGTGCAGAAAATGAACGAGTTCAACCTGTTTATGCTAGAAATATGAGGACCTGTAATATTTCAGTGTTGGTTAAAGACAGGTGATATTGTGGCAAAATATATCCGTGATCTAGCTGTTGATATGAATGCTAAAGAATTATGAGTTCCTGTTTTCCCAGTGCAGAAGTAGCTGGGGAGCCTTGAAATAACTGTTTGTTCTTGGGACGAGGGGCTGTTACTAACTGCCATTAGCTGAAGTGTGTGTGAAGAGGGGTCTCGAGTCTTGGGTGGATAGAGCTAGGACAGAAAAATAACTTTAAAGCATTATGCGCTTTTTGAAACCTGAAAAGTCAAGAAATACAACAATCCTTTAATTGTGAAGCAATGAAACTTTTCTCTTGGGAGTTCGAAATCAAGATGATAGTCTTTGCAAAAGCTAAGTGAATGGCAGGCTTCCCCATTACCTGTTGGTTTGGGGTTTTTTTCCAAATCTGATATCAAAGTCTGTAAACTTTGTCCAAGTAAACACGTTGACAATCAAGAAACATTTCTAAAGTTTAGTATTTGTTGATCTGATTTTGGAATAAAGGAATTTAAAATTGAGTGGATCTAAACTGAGAATCAGAATTAACCTAGCTGTAGTTTAAATGAATTAAAAAATAACTTTCTAGATTTTTTTTTTCTCTGAATGCATATTTTAATTGTAACAAGTAGGACAAAACCATGCGTTATTTTAATTCCACAATCTAAACCCACCATAATATATTAATTCAAATTTGCTGACAATGTAAATTTCAAGTTACTTGGTAACATGAATTTGTTGACATCTTATGTCTTGATTTATTTAATTTTTTTATTTTTGCAAGCAACCCAAATTTTCTATTCATATTATAACTTTTAAAAATGCTATGACCGTATGTTTGTTTACATTTGCACAGACATTATATATACTTATATGTATTATAGCAGTGTAACATGAATGTAAGACTTTGTTACAGTTTAGAATTTTTGTTTTTATGTAGTGTCAAAATGGGACGTCGCTCCTCGGACACAGAAGAAGAGAACAGAAGCAGAAGGAAAAAGAAACACCGCAGGCGTTCGTCTTCAACTAGTTCCTCAGACAGCAGAACATACAGCCGTAAAAAATCTGGAAGGAAATCAAGGTCAAGGTCGCGGTCTCGAGATCTCCAGTCTCGTTCTCATTCTTATGAGAAAAGGTGCATTTATAGTAATTTACTGTCTGTTGCAGTTGTTTACTAATTGGGCTCTTTCAAGTTACGGTACAAAGCCAGAGGCGTTGGATTCTAGTGTGGAGTCAGTTTTAGGTTGGAATTTTACAGCAAAGTTTTGCTCGGAATCTTAGAAAATGTGGCAATATTTCCACTCACATTTAAAGAAAAATACCAAACTCACTACCCCCACTAAAAAACCCCAAACATCTTTCCCTCCTCCAAGAATACAAAAGCAGTGTATACACAAAATGCAGATCCAAAGGTAACTTATTTATTAAAACAAACAAAATCCAACCAACTAAAATAACTTTTCTTTTCTCCTCCTTCTAAATACTGATTTTCTCATGTCTTTTTGGAGATATAATGGCTCATGTATTAATGCCAGTTGGAAAAGTAGTTTCATTCAACTAGTTATAGACTATTCTGTGTTACTTTTCTCTGTTGTAATAAAGCAAGTAGGTCTTGGCAGACAGCAAGGCAGACTCTCTCAATAGAAAGACTTAGAGTGATTTTTACAGTAGGTCTATACGTTTGCAGCACAGCTAGTTTTCACTATTATTCATGCTATTTTGTATGTGTACAGAATACAGTTGTCATCCAGGTGTTTAGAACATGGGTCATGTGACTGTATCTACCAAATTTTTCGTGACCAAACGTTGTATTTCCCTCATCAGAGGCCACTCTCAGTACCTGACCTTTTTAGATAGCATGGTTGTCTCTCAGTCTGACTTGTGGTGATCCTGGAGTCAATTTATTAATAAGTGGAGCAGGAAAATACTCATTGTGTCTTGCGGCATTGTAAATATGTTGGAAAGTGCTCCTGACAAACCTTTCTTTAGCTGGCAGAAGAGTGTGTCGGTGAGGGGCAAGTTGGCTGGTTGTGGGGGGTTTCTTATTTATTTCCATCCCCCCTTTCTTCTGTTCCTGCTTAGCATCTACATACAGCCCTAAGGGGACACAGCGAGATGACATGGGCTTTGATGCCAACAATATGCCGATGACATGCAGCTTTATGAATCTCTTTAGTCCAGTGCAGGCATGGCTATCTCGCAGATAAAACCAGAGCTTGAAGGGAGATTAGAGTCTGGACGAAGACCAGTTGACTTAAATTGAATCCAGAAAAGAGGAAAGTGTCTGCTTTTAGGATCTGGCTGGCACCTTTGCTTTGCCCTCAGTTTAGGGCATTCGCTCCTGGCAGTTAAGTCACTATTACATGCTGGGCTTCTGCTGGATTTACCCCTGACCCTGAAGAACCAAAAGCAGCAGTCTCTAAGATTACTCTTCTTCATCTTCATTTAGCAGGAACATTGCATTGCTTTTTCAGATGAAGACCCGTTCTTTAGTAGTTAACCTATATATCCTTTCTGGTTTGCATTACTGCAGCATTACTTGTGCGTAGTACAACACTTTTTCCCTTATGCTAGGTAAGCACGTACCACATCGACTTCATCCTGAATTAGAGAAATGTTGCTATGTGGTGTTATATTTTCATATTACTCAAACATAATAAAGCCCAAAAATATCGAGGTTCTCATAAGGATTGTAATTGTTATTTAATTAGCTGTTAGGGAGATGGAGATGAAATTTTACAACAGGTTAAGACTTGGAAGGTATCCCTTCCACCAGTTTTTGGATTAGTTGGTTTGATTTATGTATTTAGCATGTATACTTTCATCTTTCTCCTGTGTGTATAAGAATTTATTCTTTGAATAAATGAAATGGGGAGTTTGGGGGGGAGGGAGGAGGGAAGTACCGTTCTGACTCCTGACTGAACTCAGGAGAAAATTTCCAAGCTCAAATGGAATAAATTAATACTGATTATTTGATTACTAGTAGTACATAAGAAAGGAGGATCTATCTACATCAGAGCAGAACAAAGATGAAACATGTTATGAAAGTTTGAGATAACAAATCTCTAAGTTTATACAGAGAGAGAGATACAGAAAATATTTTTAGGTGTACATAATTTAAAATACATGCTTGTGTTTACATTTTATGTATGTACGTGGTATGGCTGGAAATAATTTTATAGAGTGGTGATGCAGAAGTTAACATTTCATGAATTTCACTTTTAGCACTGGAGTTGTAGTCCTTATCCCATACGGTGTATTTCTGTGTAAATCCTGCTGAGAATGTAGGTCTAAACGTTTCTTCAACTTCAGGTTTGGCGAAGAGGCAGCGAGTTCCAATGAGCTGGTCATGGGACTGACATCCATTGAGAGCTGGGTTGTGTTCCCGGCTTTGCCCTTGAGGTATTGCATGATTTGGGGCAAATCAGTTAACTTCTGTTCCTCCTTCTGCCCCTTTTCTGTCTTGAATTGTGTATTTTAGAATGTAAGCTTTTTAGGACAGGCATTGCCCACTTGGATGTGAATTACTTATTACAGCGTAATGGGAGTATTTGAGGTTTCTGCAACATGTTGTAATACAAACACCACAGGTTCGTATGTCCCTTTTAAGTAAACTGTTAGGATTTTTGTTCTTGTTTGGTTTTTTGTTTGCTTGTTTGTTTTTTAGAGGCAGTAGCGTACTAATCACGTGGTTTTGTTTTAGACGCAGACACAGATCGAGCAGTAGTTCTTCATATGGTTCTAGAAGAAAACGGAGTCGTAGCCGATCAAGGGGCAGAGGCAAATCCTACAGGTCTCAAAGATCGAGATCAAAAAGTAGAACAAGAAGGTAAGACTCTTTTTCTAGGAAGAATAATTATTATTATTATTTCTGTACTGTAAGAACATTCAATTAAAATCTCCATATAGTTACTGAGTTTGGAATATACTAGAAGTAATGCTTGCAAGTGATCGTCTAAACTACATGTCACTTGAAACTCTTCTGAATTTGAAACCTCTGAGCTGTGCTTTTGATGTACTAAATCTTTAAATTACACTTGTGGAACAGTTGGTTTTGAAGATAAGTTATATGTTTTGCATTTGACCAAGTGCAAAAAACATTAATAAAGTCACCTTGGTTTAACTGTAATCATCTGAAAACTTCTTGTAGATTTTTTTTGGTTACTGATTTCCATAACTCCCACGTATAACACCAGCTCTCTGAAGATCGGACTAAACTGTTATTTTCTCATCTGTATTTCCCTTGGAAAGAGAGGAGTATTTAGTTATGCACATTTTTCTTAATATTTTTCTTAATATTTAAAGATACCTATTTTTGATAAATTGGATTGTGACAAATGGATATTCTCAATAATAAACATAATTTAAATATTTAAATCTTAATCACATGTTGCAAATCATGTTATAAAATCTGCTTCATACTTTTGTGATTGAAAGAAGCTCCATTTTTGTGTGGGTGTATTTTTCAATTGAAAGATTTAAATAAACCTTATCCCTGGATATCAGAATTACTGTTACCATTTTCTATTGAATTTAATTATTGAGTGTATCAAGCAGATCAAAGCTTTTTTGGTATGTGTTTACAGGTCTTCAGCCAGGCAATTTTATGTACCTGCACCAAGAATTTAGTGAAACATGTCATTTTCCTATACCAAACAGGTAGAGCTGTTGCATCTAAATGTTGAAAAAATTGTTGCGGAAAGACACGAACGTTTCACTTTCTCTTATTTGTATTCTCTCATGACTTATTCACAGCTGTTCATTACAGTAGTTGCCTGGACACTTATTGCTGCAGTGCCTTTGTAGTAGCAATTTGATTATTTAAACTGTCTGATCTCTCTTTGAGTATACGTACCATCTGAGCTGTAGACCCCGGATAAGCTGCTGCGCTGTGTGTGGAAATATTCCTGTAAATATCCACTGTTTTGCTAACAAAATCAGTTTTAGAACAATGAAATGCCAAAAGAATGAGGTGAAAATGAAGGTGTTTTTACACGGTATGTCGGATATTCAGCATCAGGAAATCTGACAACCTGATTTAAAGATCTTGGGTTTACTGTAATAAGTATAAATTGCAGATCTCATTAGACATAGTCTAATGGTCATCTTTTCCAAGGGTTTTACCGATGTTAATTGGCATTGCAATATATGGAAATTATGCACCTAAAAACTTTAAAAACATGCCTACTGTTCATTTCATTTTGTGCTAGGAAATATTGTGTATAAAATACTTTATGCATAAAATATACTAGCTTTTTCAGTACTATAGCTATGAAGGTATAGCTGCATGTCACTTTAAATGATGTTACTATTCACAGACATGGTTCTTCAGGGAAAATATTTATAAATAACACCCTAAATTATAACAGAAGAGTCTTTTGGCACGTTAAAAGCATAAAACTAAAATGTTCAAAGCATAAAACTGAACACAACAGGACACATTGAATCCTTCACTGTAATTTTTTTCGAGTCTGCTCTCTGCTGTAATGTTACACTGAGAAGCCATGGATTAATCTTATTTCTGCAGAAGAGTTTAATAGGTTGCAGAAAGCTGCTACTAGAGGCCTGTGTTTTCCCTGTTTCTTAGCGGTGAGGCAGTTGCAGCAATGGTAAATAGTTCCTTTCTTTGCTATCTCAAAATCTGTCTTGTGCACTCGATCGAAGGTATGAACAGCTTTCCTAGGAGAGCTGAGTACATCACGAGTCTTCAGGCTGGAATAGAGATCGTGGGGAAAAGAGGGAATGTGATGGAGGAGTATAAAAAAATAAAAATAAATGGTGGGGAACGATGATTAAGGAATGAGTATTTCTGATCTCCTCCAATGTAAGACCTGGGGCAGGCATGAAGTGAAGTCAGCTGGTGGCAGATCCTGCTCACACAAAAGGAGATGGTTCTTATATATTGTGTAATTAAGCTGTGGAAGCCCTTGCTGTTGGAGGTTGTGGATACCAGAAGTTGAAATGAATTAAAAAAGCAATCAGACAAGAAAAATCCATTCAGAGCTGTTAACGCAAAGAGACAATATTTGTCTTGGGAAATGTATGGCTTTGTAGCACTGAAGTGGAATTTTTGTAAGAATTTGGCATCTGTAATTCATTAATTTTTTGCTTGGGGTGGGGCAGCTTGTTTTCATATGACTTTTAAAGGTAAGTACTGAAGAAAACAGGTAAACCAGCTGATAAAATGATCAGACGTAACTCAGGCAGCCACCTTGGGTTAGTGTAGTAAGGAGTGTGTTACCCACTAAAGTATTCTTGTTGCTCTCCCACTTCTTAGCTGCCAGTGGCAGGGAGTAAAATCCACTGACCCACCTGAAAAGCCACAATATACAGCAGAAAAGTGAAGATCAACTCTATGCTGCTTGTATTTGTAATGTTACTGTTGTACCTTCAGAGTACCGCCTCTGGGACTTCAGCAACTGTGATTTTTTTTTTTTTAATTTTTTTATTCCCCAATGGGAGTGGGACCGACGCTAGAAAACTAGATTCATATTGGAAGTTAAGATCCATTACCTTTAAATCACTGGATTTGTTTTTGGTATAAGTCATGCAGATGTCACAAATTCTGTATCCTATAATGTCTTCTTTCCCCACAGTCCCCCCATCAAATTAAGATAGTTTGGTTTTCAAGGTAGTGAAAATGTTGGTAAAAAGTATAATATGTGGCCATAATATCATTTTTTTAAATAACTTCTCTAACATAGGTGTTTTGTGTGAATGAATGATTTACAGAGCTCCAACTGTGTAAAATACTGAAATACCAAGTTTTAATTTGAAAAGTTGGTTTTTTACAATGACATGTTTTAAAAATATTTTGCGTAGGTATTCTTTGTAACCTAAAATGATTTTTTTTTGTACCTTATTTTAGAAGATAAGAAAACTCGTGCATAATATAACTATTTTATTTTAGATACATTTTTTTAGAGTCAAAAAAGTGGAGCTTCCTAGTAATGCTATAAATTTAAAGCTGTCCTACAGCAAGATAGTACGATGCAAATATGACTTAATAAGATCACAAACTGAATTTCAGCAAAACAACCAAGATTTACATTAAATTAGGAATTTTAAAACTGATTTAGTTTGTTTTACTGAGCATTTGCTTAATAACATTTCGCCTTCTTGCAATCTTTTTAAAGACAATAATTCGTCTGTGAAATGCAGGCACATCCTCAGTAGAAAAATTGAAAGCAACAGCTCACTTTCTGAAACCACACATATAGTGATATAAAGAAATATTTCAGCTCTACGAAATTTAATAAATCATCCCATTTCCTAATTTGATCATATTAGATGCTGATGTGGAAGAAGCATTTCAAATACCATCTCCTCATTAATATACATCAGTCTGGGGAATAGAACGGAATACTTATGCAGAGATGTCACAGTTACTGTTTCTTAGTTTACTAAGTGGAACAGGTTGATGTGATACTGGGTGCTATTTGTCAATGTCTTGCTAAAATGGTTTGGGTCGAGTTATGGAGTCCAGAAAGACGGCGGCTGATAAATCAAAAGTGGATTGAGTGGACAGGAGGCAGTGATTGATACTGTGACAGGATATGAAGAAAGGAATCTTGATACAAGCATGCATGATATTGAATATGAGAAGGAAAATGGCCCTGGAGTATGGATATTATTCAAGGAAATGAGAATAATAATATCATCTTGAAATTATTGCTGGGTGAAGATTAGGATAGTTCTTATTAGAATATTATGCTTCTCTGGAATGGAGAAACTCAGATTTCATATAATTTCTATGTGGATAGAGTCTTGTTAATATTTTTAGAGTTTTCTCTGCAATTGTTCTGCAAGTTAATCGTATATGAAAATACTTACTTTGCATCAGAACTTGTAATGCAAATATTTTAATTCATGTAGCTTTAAATAGAATTAACCAAAATATGTTAACCTTTATTCCTTGATTTCATACAATTCTGTGATTATAGAGTATTTCACTGTAATTGCCTTTAAATATGCAAGTTTGTTTTTATTGTCTGCCAAGTGCTTTTGGCTTTTCCCTTTACGTTAAGCTGAAAACTGCTGCCTTGAAATATCTTTAATGCAGTTCAACTTAAAGATTGACACACTAACAGCTAGTAGTACATCTGTACATATCTAAGAAGAGAAAATACCATGCGTAAAGGAATCCTGTTTGTAGATTTGATGCCTTTGGACTGTCAGCAAAGAAAACGTTTGATCACTGTGTTGGGTTTTTTTTCCCCAGTGTGTGTGTGAGTACATGGTTACATCTTATTTCATTCCCATTCTTCCAGTCTAATTGATTTAATATTGAAATCTGTGCATCTCATTGCAGTCCAGTGGCAGGGCAACCGACATCTTATTGGTGGCTTGGGAATAGGCTTGGGTTTTTGGAATGAAAAAGCAGCTTGTTGGCTGAAGTTGCCGTTATCCTGGCAATGTAAACTAGAATTAACTTACGTTCAGCCCTCGTAGCTTGCCAGAATTCTTTATGCTTAGCACTTAGTTTGTAATATTTAAAAATGGGGTCCTCTAGTCATGCAGAGAAGTGCAATGTAAAAAGGGTCATTAAATTAAAAAATAGTAAACCCCACTAATTTCTTTAAAACAGTGTTGTGTTGGTATACGTACCGAATAGCCAGGTTCACAAATGCAGTGATCTTTAAAGATAGTGCAATAATTTGCATTGCCTGGTTTATAAGACACAGTGATTATGGAATTACAGGAAAAGAATTCCCCACCACCCCGCTCTAGATGCATTTTCAACGCTGCTGCTTCAAACACAAATACAGTGCTTACCCTGGAGTTAGAAATACTCACCATTGGGTTTGATCTGTTCTCAGAAAGGTCATA